CTAAGTAAAGGAAAAATTGAAGTAATTACATGTTAACAGAAGTTATCAAGAGCTCAAGATCACCAGCGCACACCACCTTAAGATCGCCGGAGTTTTCTGCACAAGAAAGAAAAAGAAGAGAGAGAGCGCGAGAATTGTGTGGTAATTTTGGGAAGCGGGAAGCGTGTAGCAATAATTAAAGAGGAGAAGTGACGGTTAGAAAGAGAGTGGAGGAAGTGGAGTAACTTCTCCTGAAGAACGTGCCTGCCAGACGAAAAGATGAGAACGCCCCCAAGTAATTAATTTTTGAATTTTTTGAATTTTTCATCCATGTTCACTTTTTTATTTTTATGTATTTTCCGAAAATTGTATATAGCTATCCATATTTAGAAATTAGGGGCAAATTGTTATGGGTAAAAATCTGTAAGTTCGTTATAGCCAACGACGGTCAACCAAAGTCAGCCACGAAGACAAGCTTTGACAGAGGCTGGGAATTGACGAAGACGAACCGACCTCAAAGGACAAAGGAATCATCAACTGCCCCCTATTTTCTAGGAGAAGACAAGAACAGAAGACTAAGTTTATAGCTCAACTGCGCATGACCGTTTGTGGCAAAAACAGAAAAGATCTTAGTGCAACTAAATCCCGGATATCAAGAAGTCAAACCTATCACCTTGCAACGGCTAAAGATTAAACCCAGGAATCATCTATATAAGGAGGGGGCACCGTCAGATGAAGGACATCGCAACCTAGCTACATTCATACTCTAAACATACATTGTAAACCGTTCTCTTTGATATTTTTGCATAGTGAAAGTTTGGTAGATCCTCATTCCACCCGCGGTTTTTACCTTCATCGGGTTTTCCGCGTCACCAATCCCTTGTTTCATTTACTTATTTTTGTTATAGCTTTGTTCTTGATTTTATTTAGTTGATCCGTAGCCTAGATTTTGATATTCAATCTCACCTAACGAAAATTAGCATAAACATATATCATGTACATATCTTGACTCAGGTTAAATAAAAAGATATTATTAGATTCATCCATGAAAATATTTTATACTATTAATGATTAGTATCAATTATATTAAAAGAGAAACTTGTGCACCAAAATAAAAATTAAAAGAGAATTTTGGAAAGTAAAATTAGGTGGGAAAATATTTTATCATAAAATGACATGTGTCATTTGAGATTCGCCTTTAGTATAGGTAGGGATGTCAATGGGGCGGGGCGGGGCGGATGTTGGCCTTCCCATCCCCATCCCCACCTAATATTTTCATCTCCATCCCCATCCCCATCCCCATCCCCGCGGCTGGTCCAATTTTCATTCCCATCCCCGCCCCACTGAGTACAACTACAAAACCATCCCCGCCCCACCCCCCACTTGGATATCCATCCCCACCTAAATCCCACCAAAGACCCGCCAAATCCCCACCCAAGATCCACCTAATATCCGTATCTCAAATACACAATCTTACATAATTAATACGAATTATAAAATAAAACATTCTATACACATTTTTGTGTTATAATATAAGTGTCGTACAAAGTATTATAATTAATATTTTATTTTATGTAATTATTTTATAGAATAAAAGTATGTAATTTTGCTTTAAAAAATATATAGTTGTGGGTATGAGGCGGGTATGAAGTGGGGCAGGTGGGGCGGGGCGGGTGCAACTTAAAATCCACCCCGCCCCATCACCCATGGCGAGTATGGTTTTTATCCCCATCCCCGCCCCACCACCCGCCAAATCGAGACCCATCCCCGCCCCATTGGGACGGGGATGGGGCGGGTCTCCTACTTGACCCGCCCCATTGACACCCCTAAGTATAGGTTTATTGATAAGTTATAAAATATATATTTTTTGGCAAAAAATTTATTAGATCAATTAATACTATTATAGCATAGAAAAACTATATTATGCATAATACTTATGGGAAATAGAATGTCTTAACTCTTAACAATTTAGTGAATAATTGTTTTATCTATGATAGTGAAAAGAGCGGGGAAGTTTTTAATATCAAGGTGACACGTGGAGCTTCTGCTTGAGTGCCCGCTATTTTAGTATAGCTATAGATAGATTGATAGATTTCTAAGCTTTCCAATTAATATCTTTAAAAAACAGGGAAATTCTACATTGTGGCCTTCAAGTTCTACATTTTCTATTTGGAGGAAAGAAAAAAAAACCATAATTTCTAGTGGCACCAAAGATAAGTATAATTCTATTTAGTGACCTTTTTCAATTAAATGGTTAACCATTTTTGCTATTGGGCTCATTTTTTTTAACCTTAATTATTACTAACCTACCCTTTAATAATTAACCCAATCCCTTATTTACTCACCAACACCTGTCCACCACCCAGCTGCCACCACCATCGCCACAACCACCATCCCATTTTTTAATCCTTTACCACACAAACCGCACATCCTCTTTGCCAGAAATTTTGCAGCCACCGCTACTACCCATCGCACAAGCAGTAACCCAGCTCTCCATAGCTCACCTCACGCTACCACCAATCAACCACTTGAACTCCCTGCTCCCCGCATCAATCTATTTGCAACTGCAACCCCTAAACACCTTCTCTTGCCACCCTTCCTTAGTCGTTTCTTATCCCTAAAACCAACCCAAAGCTACCCCAAATCCGGCGACGGTGAGATTTTCGAGGGTGAGGGCTTTGTTAATAGGGTTTCTGCTTTCAAAGAAGAGGCTTGCTTGGGTGGTTTGGTCGGGGTTTCGTGGGGGTATCCGAAAATCGAAAGGTTTGGGGTATCCAAAAATCGAAAGGAAGGGGCGGCGTGACGAGTAGGGTGTTGTAGGTTGGTTAGGGTGTCGTGGGTTCCTAGGGGGTCGTGTGAATTAGTTGTTGGTGGTGTGGCTGGGAGGGGAGGTGGAGGCAGCCGTAAAAGGATGTGGGGCAGGAGGGAAGGTGGTCGGAAAAGTATTGGGGGCAAGAGAGGGTGGCCCGAAGTTATGGAGGGGGGAAAGAGAAGAAGAATAAGGGGAAAAGAAAAAAAAATTCAAATTAAGGGTAAGTTAGTAAATTAACTATATTAAGTTAAAAGGTTAGTCAATTTGATGGTTAAGCCCAAATTAATGAAATAAGGACACTACATAGAGTTTTGCAAATCTTTGGTGCCACTAAAAATTATAGCTTTTTTTTCACATATTCTTAGGTGCACACTCATGCACCTAGAAATAGGTGTAACAACAACACAATATGAACATTAGCTTTTGAGAAAGTGAACATTAGCTTTCTTTTCCTCTATTTTTCTCCTTCGTTTTTTATTTTCTATCTCCTCTGTTTTCCCCCTTTTTTTACACTTTTTTGATTGAATTTGTTTCTTACAACATGAAAGTAGTTATTAAGTATGAATTTTTTTTGTGAATTTCGATTTTGTGCTTTAATTTCGATTGATTAAGGTTTATATGAATCTTTGAATTCACAAATTATACTCTGTTTTTTCTCCTTCCTTCTTTAATTCCTTTTTCCTCTTTTTTTTCTTTTTTTTTTTTCTATTTTTCTCGTTTTGTTTTGATTTAACGATTGAATTTGTTCCTTACAATATGGAATTGGTTGTTTATCTGATTTTTTGAATTCATATGAATTGATTTTTTTTTAGCTTTGATCAATTTCATATGTGTTTCATCTGATTTTCTGCATTTTTTTTTATCAATGAACATAATCATGCAAAATATGAACATTTACATAGGTTCTTCAAATATGCGTAAAAAATATGAACATATGCTATTAAGAAAGAGAACATATGCATAAATAGACTTAATGAGAATATTTATGAACAATAAATATTTACTATGAATATTTATATTATGAACATATAAAATATTATTATGAATATAAGGCATTTAATTATGAACATAAAAAAAATTGAAGAAATAAAAAATAAATATGATTATGAAACATATGCATCATAAGTATTCAAAATATGAACATATGCATTCAAAATATGAACATATGCATTGGTTCATTTTTTAATGCGTATGAACATAATTAAGCATTTTAGAAGGTGAACATATACATAAGAAATATGAACATATGGATTTAGAAAGTGAATATATGCATTTCAGAAAGTTTACAAAAGGATTCAGCATATGAACATAAGAATTCAAAATATGAACATATGCATTTCAAAATGTGAACATAAGGTATCCGTTTGATTTCACTATTCCAATAAAAAATTTCGAACAATAGAGTATCGAACAATATTCAAACAAAATTAAGTGATAATCATATAAATTCAAACAAAATTAAGTGAAATTTACATAAAATTGCCTTTTTTTTTAGGGAGAATCATTTTGATTTTGCATCTCTTCTCTAATGTCCATTGATATTTTTGCAGTTTTTTAGTGAGATAAAATAAAATAGAGGAGAGAGAAAGTGAAAAAGAGGAGAGAGAAAATCATATAAAAGAAGAGTTTTGAGTATGGAAGTGACGTTATATTTATTGGGTGTGGGTGTATTGCAGTTTTCATGTTTTTTAGTTTTAGGACTTTTCTTAATTGGGTTGTGTGTAATTAAGCTCTTGAACTGTGTTGTTACACCTATCTAAGGTGCACCAGACTAATTGCTTTTTTTTTTTCTTTTCAACAAATCCAAAATGTGTAACTTGTTATGGCCCAGCCCTTTGTCGACAGAATTTTTAACCCAAGTAACCAGCTTGGCCTTCGCATTATTTAAACAGGGGCATCACGAATTGAAATCGGGACCTCAAATTAATAAAAAAGAAAAAATCACTACAGCGGGGCATTTCGAGTATTGAACTCGGGACCTCTCGCACCCTAAGCGAGAATCATACCACTAGACCAAATGCCCTTTATATCATCTTTTTCAAATTTTTAAAATAATTTCTAATCAATAATCTCTTTTTTTTTAAAAATTTGAAGAAAAAAGAATACAATAATGTCGACGAGTTACCGAAGAATCCAGAAAAAACATTCTACTTTTTTTTTTTTTTTTTTTTTTTTTAACGAGAACGTTCTACTTATTTCTACAACCTTCACTCCAACGAAAATTCTAGAAAACTTAAAAAAAAAAAACCCTTCCTATATATACACTCTCCTCCTGCCTCCATCAATCAATTGTCTGTTCAAAAACTTTTGAAAAACTCTCAATTCAAACACACTCAAATCTCAATTCTTAATTTTTTCTGTGTTAATTTTCGAGCTCTTAGAATTTGGTGTTTGATGGGGGGTAAAGGAGAAGGTCCTGCAATCGGAATTGATCTCGGCACGACCTACTCGTGCGTCGGAGTATGGCAACACGACCGTGTTGAGATCATTGCTAATGATCAGGGTAACAGAACCACGCCATCTTATGTCGCATTCACTGATTCTGAGCGTTTGATTGGTGATGCTGCTAAGAATCAAGTTGCCATGAATCCCACCAACACCGTCTTTGGTACGTTTTTTCTTCTTGTTGTTTGGTTTTTCTGAGTTTGCATTCTTTAATTTGATTAATCAATTAATTATTGTTGGATCAATTTAATTTTTGGAGTACTTTTTTTCATTGTTGTTTATCTGTTATCTTTGTTTTGGTTTTTATGGAATTTGAATTTGCATTGCATGTGATTTATTTATTTAATAAGTAATTATTGTAAAATTACTGGGTTGAGTTAAATTTGCTGGTTTTTTTTTAAAAAATTCCGTTAAATAATTGGAAATTGATTTATGTGTGTTAATTGTTAATTATCGGTAGGATTGTATCGTGTTTGATTCATTGCATAAACAATCAATAATCTAAATTATACGAGTAGTTGATAATTATTTGTAATTTTGAAAATCTGGGAATTTTAACTATATGTAAAAATTGATCTGGGATTTTTATTTCTTTGTAATTCTGAATTGCTACAACCTGTTTTGATTATACTGTAATAATTAAGGGAGTTAATTTTCAATTGAACTGGTTTTGCAGAAATATAATGTAGAGATGATTTATGCAATGTCGTCATATGGGATGAAATTTAATCTTATGCTCTGTTTTTCTAAAATAAATTATTAGAATACTTTGTTTGAAGCCTATGAAATATCTGATTATGCCTTGTATGATGCCTTGATTTATACTGTGAATTTGGATGTGATTTGTTTATGATGAGTTGATGTTAAACAGTTTCTGATGTAAATGCTGTATTGTTGCCTGCAGATGCAAAGAGGCTGATTGGTAGGAGATTCAGCGATCCTTCGGTACAGAGTGACATGAAGCATTGGCCATTCAAGGTAGTTGCCGGCCCGGCCGACAAGCCTATGATTGTGGTTTCTTACAAGGGCGAAGAGAAGCAGTTTTCTGCTGAAGAGATTTCGTCGATGGTTCTTGTTAAGATGAAGGAAATTGCAGAGGCTTTCCTTGGTTCGACTGTGAAGAACGCTGTTGTTACGGTCCCTGCTTACTTCAATGACTCTCAGCGTCAGGCCACTAAGGATGCTGGTGTTATTTCCGGCTTGAATGTTATGCGTATTATCAATGAGCCGACTGCGGCTGCTATTGCCTATGGTCTTGACAAGAAGGCTAGCAGTGTTGGTGAGAAGAATGTGCTTATTTTCGATCTTGGAGGTGGTACTTTTGATGTGTCTCTTCTTACTATTGAGGAGGGTATCTTCGAAGTCAAAGCTACTGCCGGAGACACCCATCTTGGTGGTGAAGATTTCGATAACAGGATGGTGAATCACTTTGTTCAGGAGTTTAAGAGGAAGAATAAGAAGGATATTAGTGGAAACCCGAGGGCTCTTAGGAGGTTGAGAACTGCTTGTGAGAGGGCAAAGAGGACTTTGTCATCTACTGCTCAAACTACCATTGAGATTGATTCTCTCTTTGAGGGAATTGATTTCTACTCAACCATTACTCGTGCTCGTTTCGAGGAGTTGAACATGGATTTGTTCAGGAAGTGTATGGAACCTGTTGAGAAGTGTTTGAGGGATGCTAAGATGGACAAGAGCAATGTCCATGATGTTGTTCTTGTTGGTGGGTCTACTAGGATTCCCAAAGTGCAGCAGCTGTTGCAGGATTTCTTCAACGGGAAAGAGCTCTGCAAGAGTATCAACCCCGATGAGGCTGTTGCATATGGTGCTGCTGTCCAAGCCGCTATTTTGAGTGGTGAAGGCAATGAGAAGGTCCAGGACCTTCTGCTCTTGGATGTTACTCCTCTATCTCTCGGTCTTGAGACAGCTGGTGGTGTTATGACTGTTCTTATCCCAAGGAACACCACCATCCCCACCAAGAAAGAGCAGGTATTCTCCACGTACTCCGACAACCAGCCTGGTGTGTTGATCCAGGTCTATGAAGGAGAGAGAACTAGGACCAGGGACAACAACCTGTTGGGTAAATTTGAGCTTTCTGGCATTCCTCCAGCACCCAGAGGTGTTCCTCAGATCAATGTCTGCTTCGACATTGATGCCAACGGTATCTTGAATGTTTCTGCTGAGGACAAGACCACAGGACAGAAGAACAAGATTACAATCACCAATGACAAGGGAAGGTTGTCTAAGGAGGAAATTGAGAAGATGGTTCAAGAGGCTGAGAAGTACAAGGCTGATGATGAGGAGCACAAGAAGAAGGTTGAGGCGAAGAATGCTTTGGAGAACTATGTCTACAACATGAGAAACACAGTGAAGGATGAAAAGATCGGATCAAAGCTGTCAGAGGCTGATAAGAAGAAGATTGAGGATTCAATTGAGCAGACTATCCAATGGTTGGATAGTAATCAGCTGGCTGAGGCTGATGAATTTGAAGATAAGATGAAAGAGGTCGAGGGTATCTGCAACCCCATCATTGCTAAGATGTACCAGGGTGCAGGTGCTGGTCCTGATATGGGCGGTGCTATGGACGATGATGGTCCTTCAGCTGGTGCAACTGGCGCTGGCCCTAAGATTGAAGAAGTTGACTAAGCTTCTTGATTTATCTAGTTTTGAGTTCTGTTTGTTTTAGTGTTTTGATGTCTTTAGGATGATGAAAAATTAAGACTTTGCTAAGATGTTTTTGTGAAGCTTTTGTAATTTCCTTATGCGTTTAATGGTAGTTTGCTGCAATTAGCAGCTACATTTTCATTGCACTGCTGTTCTCTTTTTAGTTTTGTGCAAGTAAATCAGTAGATAACTGTCATATCTCCAAGGGAATTCATCTTCTAATCTTAACTCGGAATATACAAAGTGAATCTAAGCTGTCATACACTCATACCAGCTGATGTTTCTCTTAAGGCTAAACGTAGGGCATCAATTTAAAAGATTATAACTCATCTAAAACAAACTTATTGGATTCCTCAGTAAATAAATACGTAGTAAATGATTGTGTGAGCTGCATTTGCAAACTGTAAACGGATGTTCTTACTATAGTAATGCTATTTATGTGATAGTGTGATACATAAATCAACATTACTCTTTTTTTTTTCGAAGGGAAAATCTACATAACTTGGTACATTATATGCCTACTACCTAGTATAACAAGTACAGAGTAGGTTAATCCTACAAACACAATAACTCAATAAACATACTTATCGCAAACTTGTCAAAATTTGCCGTCTCAATATGAATGTAACTAGTATTTAGACCGTACTACATATGGGTTAAATTTGTTGGTAATAAATACGGAGTATATATTTTTTATATATATAAACAAAACTTACATTTAATTTCATTAAAAAAAAATTTAAAAATAAAACAAAACAAAACAAAACATACATTTAATTTCATGAAATCTACCACAGTAAAAAAAAATTATTATTTGTATTAATAGGTGTACATAGTGCTGTCAAATTTCAAATCGAAACTGTTTAACTGCCCGAAACAAACCGACCCAAATGAAAACCGAACCGATTAAAAACCGTTTTTTTGAAACCGAAAATCGACCCGAACCGTATGTGAATGAACCTGAAACCGAACCGATCCAAATGACGTTACACCGTATAAGAACCGAACCCGTTAATGAACCGAACCAGTTCTAAACCGAACCGAAAAAGAACCAAACTGTTTCTAACTCGAAACCGCTTTAAACCCGAAACCGTTTGAACCGGGATAAAAACCGTTTACACCGAACCGTTAACAACCTGCGACTCGTTTGCACCGACCTGTATATAAACCAAACTGCTTGCAAACCGAGTCATTTATGAACCGGACCACTTATAAGCGAATCGGCTACAAACTGCTTATTACTATAAAGAGAATATTAAAATCAAGTTAAAGAGGTGTTTTAAATGAAATTTAATTATCATAGTACAAAAATTCTTCATGCCAAATTAATATTTATTGAAAATTTATTATCATAGTATAAAATATCTTCCTGCCAAATTATTATCATGGTACAAAATATCTTCCTGCAACGCACTAAAAATCCTCCTGCCATAAACTGAACCGAAAAAGAACTGAAACAGTTATAAACTGAACCGAAAAAGAATTGAACCAATTATAAACTGAATCGAAAAAGAACCGAACTAGTTATAAATTGAACCAAAAAAACCGAACTGTTTCTAACCTAAAATTGTTTCCAACCCGAAACTGTTTGAACCAGGATATAAACTGTTTACACCGAACCGTTAATAAACTGCAACCCGTCTGCACCGAACCGTTTACTACCCAGACGGTTTACAACCCGAACCGAATTAAAACTGCTCAAGAATAAACCGAAGCCGAATCGAACCGATAATTATTTAAATCGAACTGGCACCGACCCGTGAGACACTTAAACCGATTTCAAACCGACCCGATTTAATACTGAACCGATTTCAAACTGAACCCGAACTGTCAAACCGTTTTGACAGTGCTAGGTGTACATATCATCATGAATTGTATTAGGTAATTACAACATAATTTAAACCTAAAAATAAATCAATAAATTCATCAAAAATAAAGTTACAAAGTATTAATTTTGCCAATTTGTGAATTGTGATAGATTTCATGAAAAAGATATGTTTCTCTGTAATATATACTTCCTCCATTTCTTTTTAGTTAACACGTTTCTTTAGTCACGTTTGCCAATGCACTTATTCAATCATTAATATCTTTAATTATCGATAAATAAAAATTATGAAAAGTTGATATTTTAAAATTATATAACATGACGAATCTAACAAGATCCCACATGACTATATTAGTCATTGCGTATAAAGCACAAAACACGGTCAAAGGGAGGTGTGTGAATAGTGCTAAAGTCAAAACGTGTCGACTAAATAAAAACGGAGGTAGTATATATATATATATATATATATATATATATATATATATATATATATATAAATACTACCGCTAAAAACAAGGCTTATGCTGAAATCAAGACTTATGTTGAAAACAACAAATCTCAACCGTTCATTATTAGCACAAAAGATCAAACGGATAAAAAGCCCTAAGATCTTTCCAACCTACATATAATCAATTCAACCATTTTAACGGTCACTAAATACTAAAATAAGGTAACATTATCTAAATTGACGACATTTATATAGAGTCACTATATATAAAAATAACATAATTATATCAATTTTGACGATATTTACATAAATAAGGTAATTATATCAATTTTGACAACATTTACATAAAGGTCACTATGTACAGAAATAAAATAATTATATCGACTTTGAGTTTTTGACACCATTAACATAAAGGTCACTATATACAAAAATAAAGGTCACTATTTATAAAAATAAGGTAACTACATAAATTTTGACAACATTTACATAAGGGTCACTATATACAAAAATATGGTGACTAAAACAAATTTCACAACATTTCCATAAAGTTACAATATACAAAAATAAGATAACTATATCAAATTTGACAATATTTCCATAAAGGTCACTGTATACAAAATAAAGGTTACTACATCAAAAATAAAGGACCACATTTGCATAAAGATTGTTATATACAAAAATAAGGTGATTGAACAAATTTTACAATATTTACTTGTTGCTAAAGTTTATTATATACAAAAATAAGGTAACTATATATAAACTCCGAGTAATTATATGACACCATTTACCCAAAGGTCACTATATACAAAAAATAGCTAACTATATCAAGTTATAACAATTTTGACGACATTTACACAAAGGTCACTATATATAGAAATAAGGTTACAATACCAATTTTGATAAAGCTTGCACAGAGGTCACTATATTTAAACATAAAGTAACTATATTAATAGTTTCTATATGAAAAACAAGTAACCAATTGAGCTAATAGGTTCCAACACGGAAGAGCAATAAAGATTTATTGATAGATGCAGTGTATATTTAACACGAATCAGCTCTTCCCATCAAATTTTATTTGCCTATGTGCTTTCTTATACAAGGCTATTGTCTCTGTAATGGCCATAGGGAACAAGTGACTTAACTTACATCATGATGGTGTCAACCATATGGTGAAATTCCAGGGATTGATTTAAGCATTTTACATAAATTGTGATTGCTACAACAATCAATAAGGCAAATGAAACTAAAATAAAAACCTAATTAACTAAAATCAAGCAGAATTAAATAGAATATCGATCAAATCTACTCCTATGAAAATGTATTAAAGTCGAAACTCAAAAATACAAATCACATCGACAATTTCCATACAAAATAAAAAATAAAAAAAAACGAGCAAAATTAGGAAAAAAAAAATTTAAACAATCAAAGACGAAGAACTCAAAAAAATACACAAATCAGAAATAAAAAACCCAACAACTATCCAATATCTAGAATCAAAGATGCAAAATCGAGCTAAAATCACACATCAAACCTAGTTTACTCAAATCAAGAAAAAATACACAAATGTAGATCAAAGGATTTCATACGAAGACATTAAGTCGAATTTTCGCGTAATTACACTCATATGAAACACGAATAAGTAGGGAAAAGCTCAAATAAAGTATACTGCTACATGTAACTCATAATTAAATTCGTAACAAAAAAAAAAAATAAAGCAAAAATAACACAAAATACCTAATCTACTAAAATCAAGCAAAATCACGCAAACGCAGCTCATAAATACTTCTATGAAACTAAAATTCCAAAAAAAAAATTAAAAAAAAAACTCAAAAAAAATCAAATCAGAAAATCAATTTGATATTTCCAAAACACGTATAAAATACCAAATTAAACAAAATTCATAAACGGAAAACTCACTTTTTTGAAGCTTATGACGAAATTGATGAAGGTTGAACCAAATTCCTCTATAATTTGATGATGTTCAACGTTGATTTTGAATTGGGAAGGAGAGAGAATGAAGGAAATGGAGAACGTGAGATGGAGGAGAGAGATAATGGATGGTCAAAACTAGAAAACAAAACCCACCTCAGGTTTAAATACACACAGATGTAATTTAATCTGTTAGATTGAAATCAATTGTCTAGATCGCCTGTTTTCATTTTTCAGCCAAAGACTTGTTTTCACATGATCCACTCCCTTCATGTATAAGAACATATTTTTAATTTAGAACATCTGATTTAAGAATTAAAACATGTGAGTAAAAATTTAGAACATCATACTTAACTTTCTGTAGCATAGCGTTTGGAACAAAATACCTAGAAATTTAGAACCTAGACTCAATGATTCTTAATATATGTAATAGTTCTTAGAAGAATAAACTTAGGTTTTCAAAATATAGTTTTAATTGGAACATGATACTCAAAATTTAAGACCTTGAACTCAAAAACAAATCTGAACATATATGCAATATTTTTTAGAACATATGCAACATATTTTAGAACATATGTAATAGTTTTTAGAACATACTTAAATTTTATAGAACATAATTCTTTAATATTAAACACGAATTGAAATTCAATTTTTACAACGAATTGATTTGAAATCAGTGTATTCTTGATTTCCAAGGTAACAAAAACATATGAATTGTTGTTTAGTTTCTTATATTCAATTAAAATTCCTTGAAATTTCAAACTCTATAATTTGCCCAATTTGATTGATTTGGATGAAAAAATTTTGATTTCATATATTAAACTGTCAATTAAGCTTGTTTAGCTTTGATTAAGCTTCCCAACTTAAATTCTTGACTAAAATTGTTCAAAAGTTGATACAAAACACATGAAATTCTTGAGCATGTAGTGATGGTGGTCG